CCCTCCTCCTCCCCCCTCCTCCTCCCCCTTGGCTGCCGTGCTCCCTCCCCCCCTTCCGCCACCTCTGCCTCCTTCCCCTGCGGGGCTTCGGCCGTCTGCCCGAACACGCGAGGACGTCAGGGCCCCCCCTCGTCGGCGGCGAGCGAGGGGGGGACGTGAGTCAGGAGGGGAAAAAACACACAGACACAATTAATCGTCGATTCCCCAGAAAATATGGGAAAACATGGGAAGTGGGGGGGAAGACAAAAGTCCAACACATATGGAAAAATATGGGCAATCCTTTTATTTGTCTGTATTTATTTGTGTGTCCCAGGGCCCCTTCATTCTCGGAAGGCGGCGGGACTTCTCGGAAGCCTCCGCGCCCTCCGAGAAGCTTTTTCCCCTGTCTTCGGGGAGGGCTCAGAAAGCTTCGCCGAAGGCCTGGGGACTTCTGAGCCTTCTGAGAGGGCCCGCCCCTTCTCACTTCCCCCCCTCGCTCGCCGCCATTCCGTGCCGATTTTGCTAAAATTCGGGGATCGGTCGCGACCGACTTGCTGCAAGGCTGGTCACGACCGATCGTGGAATCGTTCACGATCGATCGCGGCCGACCTGGAGTGCCGATCGGTCGCTGCCGGTCGCGACCGAAAGACATGGTATCCAGAGATCCGGGAGGCTGCAAACCGTTTTCTGAACAACAAAAGACAACAGCACAACAAGCAAAAGCGAAACGCAAGAACACACAAACAGACATAAGCAGTGAATGCATCAGTTCCCGCCGTGATGGCCTCACGACGCGAGGACGTCAGGGGCCTGGCCAGGGGTACTCCCGCATGCGTCACTGACTACGTAGGACGAGGATCAATCCGTTCCAGAACGTTCCAGGACGCCCTCAGAGCGTTCCGAGACGCTCCGAGAAGGCCGCGGCGCCCGAGACATCCTCCAGAGCCGCCGGATCTCAGAGATTCTCGAGTTATCCTCGCCCCACGTTCTGCTCGGTTTCGCCTCGTCTTGAGAACCTCTGCGTGCGCGCGCCGCCTCCGCGCGCGCCGCCTCCGCGCGGCGCCGCCGCCCCGCGCCGCGGGCGGCCCCGGAGGAGCGCGGCAGCGTCGCAGGCGCCGGGCCATTCGCGGGGGCCTCGGCGGCGGGGGCTTCCTGCTGTGCACGCCCGGGGCGGGGGACGGAGCGCGCGGGCGCGATGCGCCGTGGGCCATGGCATCGCTCGGGCGTGTGCTGTTTCTCTCGGCGACCACCATCGAGGACCATCGAGCCGAAAAAACACGATCGAGGACCATCGAGGACCACCATCGAGGACCGTCCTGGACCATCGAGCCGAACAAAACACGCACGACGCCGAAAAATGCACAGGAAAGGGACGGCCGAGCGACGGCCAGCGGGGGCGGGATGCGCGGTGGCGGACCGGGCGGGGGCGGACTGCGTGTGGGGGGCCTTGCTCTGCACGCGGGGGCCTTGCTTGCTGCGCGCCTGGGCCAGGGGTCGGAGTGGCACCGGGAGCAGAGCGTGTGGGGGGGCTGGCCAGAGCCTGGTCATCGGCGTCGCCCCAACACGCCACGGGGAGGCGGGGGAAAGTGGCCGGGGCCGGCCCTTCCATTCTTTCCACCCCTAGCCAGTGTTCCTCTAATGTTTCCAGCCCTGGCGACCTCATCCCAACTGCTTTATGGTCGTCGCAGCCCCTGCTAGTTCTTCCGGCCCTGGCCACTTCCATTTTCACGGGGTTCCAAATATTTTTGTTTCCCAGCATGTACGTCAAGCAGTAGGGAAGCGTTTTGGCTTGCCTGTAGGCCCGCCAAAGAATGGTCAAATCACTTGTTGCGGTCTGCACGACATGTTCTTAGAGCATCTCTGGCTCAGACCGTCTTGATTGGTTTAATATATCGGGCGTATGCTCTAAGAGCAGTGTGGTTGTTTCCAGAGTATTCGCTTGTTCTTAGAAGATTTCCTGGTAGGCCTATAGGAGTGCCAGACGGTTGGTCTCTGCTCGACTATGGGCACGATGCCCGACAGCAGTGCTTGTTCATCGGCGTCACCCCAACACACTGATACTATGTGTGCGTCGCTCCCAAGTGGGTGACGTGAACTTGCCCGAATGTGGTGACGTTCACTCGGCCGGCCTCCATAGATCATTGCCGCTGCGTGGGAGCTGCGACGGCTCGTCAATAGGTGCAGTGTCAGCCCTCTTGAGGGGCAGCGGATTCTTCGGTGGGGGAAGGAGATTGCAGAAATGGTGTGCGCGTCGCCGCGAAGGGGGCGACGCGCGCGCCGAGAAATCGTATAGTACAGTATAGGAGGAGGAGGAGGAGGAGGAGGAGGAGAAGGAGGAGGGAGGAGGAGGAGGAGGAGGAGGAGGAGGAGGAGGAGGGAGGAGGAGGAGGAGGAGGTCGTTGGCGGACGCTTTCTGGCCACGCCGTTCGGGCAGCGGTCTGCCGAGGGACGTCCGTGCCGTGCTCGGCCCTGGGCGTGTGCCTCCGACGAGGCCCCCGAGGCATCGGGGCGGGGGGGGCAGTCGGGGGTAGCTGCAGGTTCGTGCCTCGGGGGCCCAAGCCGAAGTCTGGCGGCGAGCGAGGGGGGGAAGCGAGAAGGAGAAGGCCGTCTCGGAAGGCGGCGGGACTTCTCGGAAGCCCTCGCGCCTTCTGAGAAGTGTTCCTTGTCTTCGGGGAGGGTTCGGTAAACTTCTCAGAAGCCCGGGAGGCTTCCGAGCCTTCTGAGAAGGCCTTCTCCTTCTCATTCCCCCCCCTCGCTCGCCGCCAAGAAATTACCCCAGACCGCAGCTATCCTGGATAAGTTGGGCGTCCAATGTGTGCGGGACCACGCACCGAAACGATCGGCGGCTGGCGTCGCTTGTGTGTCAGTATCACGGCCAAAAGGTGCAGTTTCCGTGCCCTGGGTGAGCGGGCGTTCCGAAACGCTCTGAGAAGGCCGCGGCGCCCGATCTTCGGGGGCGGCCCAGAGAGGGGTGATGACCAGGCAGGGGTATCATGGCGGAGGCCATGAGATCTCCCCAGATTTCATGGCGCCTCTTATTTCAATACGTTCCCTGCCCCCCCTCGTCCGCGTACATGCTGCGGGCCATGATTTGCTCACCTTCCCCTTGGACTCCCCCCTCGTGGACTCCCCCGAGAGACGTCCTCCAGAACCGCCTGGTCTCAGAGATCTCCGATTTGTCCTGGTCCGATGTCCCTGTCCTGGCTTCGGCTTGCCCTGGGGGCGGGCCAACGAGTTCCTGGGGCGCACGGGCCGGGCGAGGCCGCAAGGTGAGAGGTCCGGGCATGCCTTCACGATCAGCGGTCAGATCTGGACACCCCGCCCAGGAAGTGTGGATTCTGGAAGTCCCTGCCTCTTCCGCCGCGCGGTGGTGGACCAATGCTCGCCGCCGCTTGCAAACTAAATGCCCGTCACTGGAAGTGCCAAACAGCCCCCCGCGGCACCCCGCAGCTCTTGGCCGCGAGCCCTGGGGGGGAAGTGAGACGGGGCGGGCCTTCTCAGAAGGCTCGGAAGCTCCCCGGCCTTCGGAGAAGTTCCCTAAGCCTTCCCCAGAGACAGGAGGCTTCTAAGAAGCCAGAAGGCGCGAGGGCTTCTGAGAAGTCTCGCCGCCTGCTGTGAAGGCCTTCTCCTTCTCGCTTCCCCCCCTTTGCTCGCCGCCGAACCTCCAAAGTCGGCGGGCGCCCGCGCCGAAAGCGAGCGCGAGGTGCTGCGGGAGAAGCCCCCCTCCCGCGAGGGCCCCAACGCTGCCACGGTGACCCTGAAGGGCAGGGGCGAGGAAGAGGAGGAGGAGGAGGAGGAGGAGGAGGAGGAGGAGGAGGAGGAGGAGGAGGAGGAGAGGAGGGCGCGCTTCGGTGCCCTGCTACACGGCGAACAAAAAAAACGAGGTACGCAAATCTGGCGTGGGAGGCCGGGGAGAAAACGAGGTCGACAGGGCGGGCCTCCACGCGTAAAAGCTTCCCCGCCGGAGGTCGCGCGGAAGAGTCCTCTCCCCAGCGTGGTGTGCCACGCGGGCGGCCCGCGTCAGCCGCGGCGGAAGGCGGCTGTGCCATAGTGCGTACTCCAGATTTCGTAATAAAAGGGAGGGGGTTTGGACCCTCCAAGACAAGCCATTTCAGACCTCCCCCGTGGGAGAACCCTCCAAAACATCGTCCCCAGACCCCCCAGGCCCTCCAAGATAGCCTGGAAGAGACCCCCCCGAAATGAGACCCCCCTCCCTTTATTACGAAATCTGGAGTAGGACCCGTGTCGTTTCGTCGCTGACGTGGGCATCATTTCGCCGCGGTGCCGCTCCAAGCCGTCCTGAGGGCGGCCGGGCGTGTGGGGGGGGGACTGCCGGAGTGGCCGGCCGAGGTGTCGGTGGTGTTCTCTTCGGACGCCGCTCCGAAGCAGGAGGAGTCGGCCATGTGGCACACGGCTGGCAAGAACATGGGCTGCAAGAACTGGAGGGAGGTCGCGCTGTCGGACTGGGTGCGCTCCAGCGATCAGTCGACCACGAGCTGCGGCGATCGAAGAAGACACAGCGGCAGAAACTGCAGCCTTCGGACCTCCGCGCGTCTGCGCCGGGCCCTCCTGCCTGGTGCTGCCCGCCGGGTGGCACCAGGGAGGGGGTCAGGCGCCAATCCAGGGAAGCCCGCGCGGAGTTCCGACAGCTTCTGTTGATGCGGTGTGTTGTTCTTCCAGGCGAGCTCTGCGCACAGACGTCGGGGTGCCAGGCGTTCAGCTTCCAGAAGAAGGAGAGCTGCAACGGCACCGAGCAGGTCGCCCTCGCGTAGGGGGGGGCGCGCGCAGAAGAGGGGGGGGCGAGGGGGGCGGTCTTCTCAACAGGCCAGCGGTCTCTCATGCGGGCTCGCAGTCTTAGCCCGAGGCCCTTTGTGAGGCAGGCGTGCTTCCAAGAGCCCTTCTATTCTCCCTCCTCTCCTCCGTGGCCGCTCCTCCCCCGCCGGCGCGAGGAGATTCGTGCGCCGCGTGGCCCCGACAAGCCGAGCGCCCGTGCGGGTCGCCCTCACCGTGCTGCGGCGCACAGTGGGCGGCGCACAGTGGAGGAGGAGGGGGAGGAGGAGAGGGAGGAGGAGAGGAAGGAAGAGAGGGAGGAAGAGAGGGAGGAGGAGGAGGAGGAGGATGGGGAGGGAGAGGGGGAGGGGGAAGAGGAGGAGGAGGGGAGGAAGGGAGGAGGGAGGAGGAGGTGGAGGAGGAGGAGAGAGAAAGGAGCGCCCCTGCTCGCCTCCAGGGTGGCCCGGGGTCTCGGCGGTGCTGCGAGCGGCAGGAGAGCGTGACGCCCCACTCCGAACATCAAGGGGCGTCCTCCTCTCCTCCCACCTCCTCCTCATCCTCCTCCTCCTCCTCCCTCCTCCTCCTCTCCTCCTCCTCCTCCTCCTCGCCTCCTCCTCTCCTCCCTCCTCTCCCTCCTCCTCTCCCTCCCCTCCTCCTCCTCCTCCTCTCCTCCTCCTCCTCCTCCTCCTCCTCCTCCTCCTCCTCCTCCTCCTCCTCCTCCTCCCTGGGGGTTCAGGGCCGGGCTTCTCGTGGAAGGCCTCTGGGTGGTCGAGCTCCTACAGACAGCCGGGGCCCTGAAGAAGGAACCCTTCTTGTTGGGGAGGGGCGCCGTGTTCCTGAATTGTTTCGCAGCCAGGTTTCCGATACGAAATCGAAGCTCCACTCATGGAAAATAGGGGCCCCGTTCCTTCTTTAGGGTTCCCTAGGTCAACGCCTCGACTGTGTCGTAGAAACCGAAGCAAGAAGCTTCTCTGAGAACCCCCCCCCGCAGGCCGTCTTGAGGCGGCCGCCCCTCGCCCCCACGCCCTCGTGGGGGCGCCGCCGACTCCACCTCCCCCCCGCCTGCGCACTGGCCGAGCATGCGACGACGACGACGACGCGAACGACGACGGCGACGACTTCGACGCGGACGACGACGAGGACGACGACGGCGACGACGACGACGAAAGCATGAGCAGCGACGACAACGACGACGGCGAACGACGACGGCGACGACCACGCGAACGACGACTGCGACGAGGACGCAGACTTCTCGTCCAGAGCAGGCACAGCATCGTGGCGTGGGATTGCACACACCGACGCAGTGCGCATTGCTGACAGGCGGGCTGCACTCGGGCCTCTCAACGGCCGAGGCCTCCCCCCGCCTTTGCTCTTCCGCGGCCGCCCTCTTCGTCTCCTCTTGTTCGGTGTCCCCTAGCCGCGCGTGGGCCGCGGGCTCTCGACCGCAGTGGCGCTCGCCGTCGCTGCTGGCCTCGGCGAGAGCGGCTCGATTGGCTACCAGAACATGGCAGCGCGATGACTGCATGGCGCAAGGTGGCTGAGTTGCTCTGCTACACAGCCCACCAAACAACGAGCCAACATGATTGATCCCATGGCTGCTACGGTATCGGACAGCCACCGTAAAACTATCTCGGCGACGGCGACGACCAGCTCCAGAGCCCAACTTGGAGGTGCACAAAGACCTCTGGAGTAGAAGAAAAAGCTGCATTACCATAAGCTTTTGGCGCTCCGCGCGGACTTCTCGGATCCGCGCCAGGGGCGGCGCTCGGAGGCGCCGCCAGGGGGCCGCAGCGCGGATCAAAGAAATCCGCGCGGAGCGCCAACAACTTTATGTTTATGGTATCTGTTGTTCTTCTATGGGGGCCTCCGGAGGCTCAGACAGAGCCAAACATCTGATAAACCTTGGAACCTCGAACCCAAATCTTGGGCCCCTCCCCCCAGGCCGCCCCTGGTGCCTGCTTCCTCTGGAGCGGGCGGTGCCACATGGAGGCCAACGAGTGTCGAGGCCTGAGCGCCTGCTGATCACGTCGCCAGCGACCGCTGACCGCTGCGGTAGGGCAATCTGGATGGAGTATTTATCAAGGGGGGGCGATTAACTTTCCGACTGAGCTTGCCCAATCCCGCCCACCTCCATCCTCCCCCTCCTCATCTTCCTCGTTTTCATCTTCCTCCTCTTCCTCCAACCCCCCCTCCGCCCATTCCAACAGCGGACTCAAAGGGGGGGGGGCGATTATTATCCTCTCCAGGGTAATCACGCAGTCGCGAGCGCATCCATCGGCTGGCCTCTCGTCCCCCGTGGGGGAGGGGGAGGAAAGGAGGAAGAAGGAGGAGGACGAGGAGGGGGGGCGGGGGCTGAGGCTTGAGTTGCAGTATGATTAAAAACACGTTCGTGTTGCCTCATAGGGGCGCCCTCGTGGCCACGGCTGGAGCCGCGTCGAACACCCAGTCAGATCATGCCCCCAGGCGAGGTCCGGGGGGCGGGGGACGTGTCAGCGGAGGAGTGGGAGGGAGGCCAGTCCCGCCGCCGTGGTTCGCTCAGCCTGGACCCGTCTCTCGTCCCAGGTCGTTTAGCGACGGCCCTACAGGCCCGACCATGGCCCTCGGGGGCCGAGATTGCAGGCGGCGCCCACATGGGGCTGGCCTCAGAAGGCAGGGGGCTGGAGGGGGCCTAAGAAGACCTCCTGGAAGCCAGAAGGGCGTCTGAGCAGCCACCTGCCCTCTCAGAAGCGCCGTCCCCTCCCGCCTGCTTAGAAGGCCGCCCCCTCGCGCCACCTCCTCGTGGGCGCCGCCACGACGGTGGGAAGGCGCCAGAGACTCGAAGCATCAACGGCGTAGTAGTCTGATCGCGTGGTCGGGCCGCGCGGTCGGGGCCCCGTGATCGGCCCAGCACCGGACGCCGAGGCTGGGACAACTACCGGATGGAGCAGTCCCTGCCCATGCCCTGGGCCATGGCCTCGCCAGGGACGGACGGGTGCTCAGACGCCGAGGCGGGGAGTCATCCGTCACCCCCCGCCCTGGGGGGTCGATCTTCGTTGCCTTCTGGCAGGCGGTGGACAGGGACACACTCGGCCCTCCAAGGGCCCGAAAATATCCATCTCCACAGCCTACGGAGGCCTCCAAAGATCGACCTCAGGCGGTGGTCGCGGATAAAACTCCGCCTCGCACGGATTGAGGTGCCAGGCTTGGCGTTGTGTGTCAATCTCAGGTTCAAGGGGCAGTTTCTGGGCTTCGTGGTCATCAAGAATCGATCCAGAAAAAAACAAGCATGTCACTGAGAATGAGATGGGGACATTGGGGTCGATAGATATGAAAGCAAGCATCACCAAACATCGGGGGGATGTCTTAGGTGCTGGGTGGTGATCAGGCGGATGTAGAGGAGGAGGTGGGGGAGAGTCACTGACCCTGGCCTCTTGGATTTACATGCGTCTCCGTTGTGGGCGCCACGACAGGATGAGGAGAAGTAGGACGACGAGAGGTAGGGAGGAGGAGGAGGGAGAAGAGGAAAAAAGCAGCAGGAGCAGGAGCAGGAGCAGGAGAGGGAGGGCCGATGATAAAGAGGAGGACGAGGAGGAGGAAGGCAACCGTGCCTCGAGCAGAAGGCTCCAGAGTCACAACAGTGCAGCCTTTCACTGCCAGGGCCAGCCCCTCCCCTCTTTGAAGAGTGCGGGTGAGGGTGGGGGGCCATCCGTCCCCTCCCAAATCTCCCCCCACCGGGCTCGGCCGATGCGAAAGGGCTTCCAGGGGAAGCCTAGGAGGCTGTATGAAGGAGAAGGAGTTGGAGTTGGAGGAGGAGGAGGCGGAGGAGGAGGAGGAGGAGGCCGCTGCCTCCGTATGAACCTGCCAGCGGCTCTTGTACAACGAATGTTCGGCTCTCCCCCCAAACAATGATCCTGGCGAAGGGCCCGACCAAATAAAGCTGCGGGTACCGCGAGGCAAGTGAGAAGAAGGAGAGAGGCGAGCAGAATGAAGGACTGACGCGCATCCCTTGGAGCCAGTGAAGGGTGTGCCGCACTGGGGGGCGGGTACATGCGGACCCTGGCACGAGGTAATGGGTGGAGCCTCCTATGGGGCGAAGAACTTCGCGAGGGGCATGCCGAATTCTGAGCGGGTACGCCATGCGGCCACTGTTGATGAGGCAATCGTTTGGGCGCCGTATGGGGCCACGAAGCGTGTGAGGGGTGTGCCGGCATGAGGTGGCGCCGCCTGGTATTTGAGCCCCAGTTGGGGCTCCATATGGGGCCACGAAGCTTGTGAGCGGTGTGCCGAAATGAGGCGGCGCCGCCCCGCGGACTCTGGCATGTGGGCTTCGGTTGGAGCTCCATATGAGGGCACGAAACGTGTGAGGGTTGTGCCGAAATGTGGCGGCGCCGCCATGCGGACCCCGGAATGTGGGCTTTATCTGGGGCCCCCATTAAGAGGCCACGGCACTTGTGAGGGGTGTGCCGACATGAGGCGGTGCCGCCATGTGGATCTTGGCATGTGTGCCTTAGCTGGTGCCCCCTTATGGGGCCACGGCACTTGTGAGGGGTGTGCCGATATGGGGCGTTGCCGCCATGTGGATCCTGGCATGGGGGCCTTGGCTGGAGCCCCTTTTATGAAGCACGAAGCGTGTGAGGGGTCTACCGAAATGAGGCGGCGGCGTCATGCGGACCCTGGCATTTGGGCCTTAGCTGGGGCTCCCTCATGAGAGCACGAAGCGTGCGTGGGCGTGCCGAAATGAGGTGGCGGCGCCGTGCGGACCCTGGCATTTGGGCCTCAGCTGCAGGTCCCTCTGGGGACCCGAAGCGTGTGGGAGGTGTTCCGAAGTGGGGCGGCGGCAGCGCCATGCGAGGGATGTACCGAAACGGGGCGGCGCCGGCATGCGGACTCTTGCCTGTGGGCCTCAGCTGGAGTTCCTCATGAGGGCACGAAGCGTGTGCGGGGTCTGGCGAAATGAGGTGGGGCCGCCATGCGGGCCCTGGCATGTGGGCCTTCGTTGCAGCTCCCCATAGGGGCAACCAAACGAGCGAGGGGTGCGCCGAAATGGGACGGCACCGCCATGCGGACCTTGGAATTTAGGCTTCAGTTGGAGCTCCATGTGAGGGCACGAAGCGTGTGAGCGGTGTGCCGATATCAAGCGGCGACACCATGCGGACCCTGGCATTTGGACCTTGGCTGGAGCCCCGACACGGGGCCACGAAATGTGTGAGTTGGGTGATGCTTGAGGCGCAGCTCCGTGGGGGGGGGGGGGGCATGAAACGTGTGCGGGGTGTGCCGACATGACACACCGACGCCATACGGACCTTGGCAGTTGGGCCTTAGCCGGAGCCCCGATATGGAGCCACGAAACGTGTGAGGGTTGTGCCAAATTGAGGCGACGCCATGCGGACCCAAGCACGTGGGCCTTAGTTGGGGCCCCGTATGGGGCCACGAAACGTATGAGAGGTGTGCCGAAATGAGGCGGTGGCGCCATGCGGACCTTGGCAGTTGGGCATTCAACGGGGCTCCTTATGGGGCCACGAAACGTGTGAGGGGTGTGCCGAAACAAGGCGGCGCCGCAACGTGGACCCTGGCATGCGGGTCCTAGTCTGGGCATCTCATGGGGCCACGAAAGATGATAATGATGTGCCGAGATAGTGCGGGGCCTTAGTTGGGGCTCATTATGGGCCAGCGAAGCGTGTGAGGGGAGTGTCGAAATGAGGCGGTGTCGCCTTGAAGGCCTTGGCATGTGGGCCTTAATTGGAGCTCCCTAGGGTGTGCCAAAATGGGCATGTGGAGAGCAAAAGCAGGGATGGCAGGAAGAGGGGACGAGGGGAGAGGAGAGGAGAGGAGAGGAGAAGAGGGGAGGGGAGAGGAGAAGACGCGGGGCGATGTCTCTTCAAAACGAGAACCCAACACCGCAGGGTGAACATTTCCTGGCGACGGACTCAACCATTTGCATGCGTGAGTACCGCATGGCAGGTGGGACGAAGGAAGGGGAAGTCCCTATGAGCCCAAGAATCGAGAAAGGGGTGTGCCGACATGGGAGGGCCGCCACGAGGACGCTGGCACTGGCGCCGTTGATGGAGCTCCTTATTGCATATGGGGCCCCAGAATGTGTGTGAGGGGTGTGCCGAAATGACACCGACGCTATACGGACCTTGGCATTCGGGTCTTCGGAGGAGTTCCGTCTGGGGCTGCGATGCGTGTGAACATTGTGCTGAAATGAGGCGGCGCCGCGTTGCAGACCCTGCTGCCGGGGTCTTAGCTGAAGCTTGGGCCACAAAACGTGTGAGGGGTGTGCCGATATGAAGCGGCGACACCATGCGGACTGGGGCCACGGCACTTGTGAGGGGTGTGCCGGCATGAGGCGGCGACGCCATGCGGACCCTGGCATGTGGGCGACCCATGAATTTGGGTCTTAGCTGGAGCTCCCTATGGTGGGCACGAAACGTGTGAGGGGTGTGCCGAAATGAGGCAGCGACGCCATGCGAACCCTGGCATTTAAGCTTTAGTTGCAGCTCCTTATGGGGCAACGAAACGTGTGAGCGGTGTACCATAATCAAACACGGACGCCATACGGACCCTGGCATGTGGGCCTGAGCTGAAGCTCTCGATGGGGCCACGCAGCGTGTGATTGGTGTGCCGAAATGAAGCGGCGACGCCATGCGGACCTTGGCATGTGGGCCTTAGTTAGAGCTCCTTGGGGGAGCACGAAATATGGGATGGGGCGCCTATGAGGATATGCGGCGGGCAGGTGCAAAGATGGGAGGAGGGAGGGAAGGAATGCGGGAGGGAGGGAGGGAGGAGGAGGAGGAGGTGTAGGAAGAGCAGGAGGAGGAGGAAGGAGGACGCGGGGTGCCGTCTCTCCAAAACGAGAACCCAACACCACAAGATGGTTGGGAGCATGTTTGACAGTGTGGGCCCACACTAGCAAGTTATTGCACTGTGGGTGTGCACGCCACGTGGTGCAAGCTATGCGGTGCAAGCTAAGTGGTGCAGCGCATGACGTGCAAGCTACGCGCTGCAAGCTATGTGACGCAAACTACGTGGTGTAAGCTATGTGGTGTAGGCTGCGCGGTGCGGTACAGACATACATACATACACGCAGGCAGACACAGACAGACAAACAGCCAGGCAGGCAGACAGACAGGCAGGCAGACAGACAGACAGACATGCATACGTACATACATACAAACGGACAGACAGACTGACCGGCAGACGTACATACAGACACAGATGTGTGTATCTATATGTATATATACACATACATACATACATACATACATACATGCATGCATACATACATACATACATACATCCATACATACATACATACATACATACATACATACATACATACATGTATATATAGATATGTATGTGTATATGTATACACATATGCATGCCACAGCCCCCCACATCTGTACCTTCAATTCCCGCTCGTCCTTCCGCCCATTTCCACATGATCTCTCGTCCTTCTCGTCCTCCTCGTCCTCCTGCTCCTCGGCCTCTGCACCTCTCGCGAGGCAGTGCGGCGTCGGGTTGAGGGCGTTGGTCGTGGTACCGCTGTTGGTCATTGCAAGTCGCGCTAAGTTTCAATCGCCCCCCCCAACCCAATTGTCGAGGCTGCAAGGTGGAGGGCGTTCAGCCCCGTTTTGGGTGGGTGGGTGGAGGAAGGATGGCGCCCAGATGAGGACGAGGAGAAGGAGGAGGAGGAGGAGGAGGAGGAGGAGGAGGAGGAGGAGGCGCGGGGGATCCCCAGCCTCACCACCGCTGAGCGCCGCCAAGTTGCCGCGGGCATCGAGCTGCTGAGGACGACTGCGAGGTTCCTTGTAACTTGTGCGTGTGCAGGCGTATGTTGCATGATGGAGCACCCTGAAGTGCCATGGGGGAGAGGATGAGCTTCGTCCTGGAGGCTTCCTGAGCTGGCGCTGGTCGCCTCGTTGCTGTGTGCTAGCACCGCTTGCATCGATCAGCGCACGTTCGGTTGTGATTTTACCG